CCACCGCCGATCGCTGGCCCCGGCCCTGCCCCGCCCGGCCGCAGCTGCTCCCTCCGCACCGAGCCAGGGTACACCGCGTTCGCTCCGAGCCCTCGATTCAACGAAATGTTTATGCGTGCCTCTGCTCCAGCAAACATCTTGGCGGCTGCACGGAGCCTGTTCGCTGCTGCTGCTCCAGCTGCACTGGAATTGGGGCAGGGTCTGTGCGATGCTTCAGGAGCCAGCTGGCCTTCCTGAGATGGTCCCCACTCCAGGACCACCCCATCTACGCCCTGTCCCTGCACCCCCGGTTCCACTGGAGGGACCTTGTCTGCTGGGGAAGGCTGTGCTCCGCAGCCCCTTGGTGCCAAGTGGAGCTGCTGCCCCTTAGGAAAGGCTGGGCAGGGGCATGCTTTGCTGCTTTACCCTGAGGAAGTGACACCCACCCCACAAACCCATCACCCATTTCCCAGTTAAGTAAGGCTTTGAGGTGCATCTTGACATTTCAAGAGCAGCTAAGACATCTCCTGGGCTCCACAGTGCCTCCAGAGAAGCAGAACACGCGTGCCCTGTGCCTTCTTGACATCTGGCTGCTGCACCTACTGATGATGGCCATGTACAGCACCATGGAGTTGGGTGGGCATAGCCAGCCCTGGCCAGGGCAACTGCAGGGCTTGGACTGGCTCCCAGGGCCTGATCACAACTCCATGTCCCCTGTCCTGTCCAGCCAGTGTAGTCCAGGATGTGCCTACTTTCTTCCCTGCCTGAGGGGATTGTGTCAGTTGTGCACATCTGGAGTTAACTAGGGACAGGCTGGCCCTGCTATGCCATCTCTCAGGCATCATGCAGCCACTGGTCTATGCCTGCGGGGCAGGCCTCAGCCAGATGTGCCGTCATCACAATTATACTGTTGCTCCAGCTGATACCTCCAAACCTCTTGGAGGGAGTAGGGCACCTCCTTCCCCAAGCCATAGACCCTGTGAGGATGGAGCAGCATGCCCTGGGTGAGTGGGGAACCAGTGCTGAGGTCATTTCCAACCCTGCCAGGTGAGACCACGGGAAGGATTCTGTAGGACTGAGAGAGGGCCAAGACCAAAGCTCACAGCTCTGTCGTTGAACTCAGGAGGCCAGAAAGGAGAAGGTGCTGATGGCCACTCACATGACATCAATCCACACCAGACTCCCAGCCTGGAGTGTTTCTCAAGAGCATGGCTTTCAGCAGAGCCAGTTGCCCAAGCAGCTTGCGTGCCCCTGCCAGGCTGTGTGCCATGGCTCTTGCGAAATGGTGTTGATAAACACTCCAGGGCATGCCAAGTCCTGCAGGATGACAGCTGATGTGCCCAGGCTGTGGGGAGTGCCTGCACAGTGAGAGGAATTTTCCACTCCTCTATGGCAAGCGTGCCTGACCCTGCTGGGGGACTGTCCCCAGCAAGGCAGAGATTATCTGCTGGTGTCCCAGCTGGCTTGTCAGGCCCAGTAAACCCCCATGCAAGTGCTGTCCTTATGCACATGGCAAAGCAAAGGGTGGTTGGGTTGCTTGGGGCATGGTGGCACACACTGCCCTGTGCTGCATACAGGAGCAAGCAGGCTGAGTTAGGGTCCCCAAGGAGACCCCACCACCTTCATTTCACCATGGAGCTATTCTTGTATCCCGGCAAGGAACTGCCCCTTAGCTTTCCCCTTTCCAAGTACACGGGCCAAGCTGGAGTGAGCCATATGCTTCTCCATTCCCTGTCCCAAGAAACTGCCTTCCTGTGATTCTGGTCCTCTTTCCATATGCCCTGAGGGCAGTGGGTGACCACAGGGCCCTCCAGGCTGCCTGGGCCAGTTCTGTCCAGGTGTGTCTTCTAGCAAGTTGGAAATGCCTCAAAGAGCAGTCGGTCTGTGGTATGAAGTGGGTGTGCTCAGTCCTGTGCTGGCCACTGTTTGGTAATCAGCATGTGAAAGCCCAATTCGATTTGACCAGGGTGTTCTAGAGCTGCAGTTCCTTTTGTCCACCCTGCCATCCCACTGTGCTCTCAACAGAAGCCTGAAAAGCTCGTGCCAGGCAGCACAGACCTGGACAATGCACCTGTGCACAGTGCCACATGAGTCCCTGTCCCACAGCACAGCCTGGCCCATGCTGTACCATCAGTGGCAAAGTAGCTAAGTATCAGCCAACAGCTGGAGAGAGGGGGGGGGGGTCAAAGGTCTCCTGTGAGGATGGTATGTTGGGAATGAGAGCTCTGCAAGGATCCTTCTTCCCTTCCCTTCCCTTCCCTTCCCTTCCCTTCCCTTCCCTTCCCTTCCCTTCCATGTCCCTGCTGCCACCCAGGTGTCCCCTTGCTTATCCTTCCGTTGTCTGGGCTAGCAGCAGCAGAGGTGCTCGCAGCCCAGGGCTGCCCATACCATTTCACACCTGTGCTCTGCGTGGCGGCTGTCCCAGCCCAGCTGGGCTGTGATGGAGCAGCACTACTTGCTCTGACTGATCAGAGTCCCCTGTCCCCTCCCATGCCCCTGCAGCCTCCAGGTCAGTGGGTGCTGGACCAAGGCACAGTGACAGAGAGATGGGATGTGCGTTCTGAGGGTCCTGCTGGAGCACATCCTGGGAACGGGGATGCAGGGATCTGTTGCTGTGTGGGAACCTGCGCTTGGGATGGAGACAGCAGCAAGAGGAAGAGGCACTCATGGCAGCAGATACAGGAACACTGCTGTCTCTTGGCCGCAGCTCGTGGCATCGTGGCTTGTGCATGTGGGCAGAGGTGACAGCGGCAGCGCAGCTTTTGGTGCCCGCACCTCTCCACTGGGGAGAGACAGAGCTTGGGCAAAAGGCAGCAGCAGCGGCAGGGAGCCCAGTCCTGCCCCCGGCTGTTTGGGACATGCTGTTCTCTCAAGCCATGATAAGGACAATCAATAATAAAAGCAGGCAGATGGAACGCGAGCCCGGCCTCCAGCCAGCGACCTTCAGGAGCTGGGTTACTGGAGCAGGCGCGGCCGCTTGGCAGCGCCGGGAGCCAGCGCGGGGTGACCGCGGCTGCTGCAGCGCTGCCCCGGTGCGCCGCTCGGCCACCGGGCCCTGGCCTGCAGCCTGACGGCACCGGGCCTCGGGCAGCTCAGGGACACGCCGGGCACCTCCGTAACGAGCCGGGACAGCGACACAACCGCCCGGAGCGCAGGGCTGCGGGATCGGCTGTCCCCGGCTCCGGCCGAGCCTCCGGGGCAACCCTGAGCGCTTACATAACCAGCACTGCACAAACATGACCCACTCACCGCCGAGCTCAGCAAGATCCTGATAAAGCAGAAAAACAGCAAGCCCGGCCCAGCGCCTGGACACAGCTGGCCCCGGCTGCTCGGGGCTGTGACGTGGGAGGGTCAGCAGTGTCCTTGCCAAGCAGCTGCGGGGCTGCCAAACAGCCTGGAAGGTTCGAGCTGGCCCAGCGCCGATGTGGGCGTCTGCCTTCCAGCAGGTTCTGTCTCTTTCTGAGCTTCTTAGAGCTGCAGCGAAGCTCCGGGTTTTGCAATTCTCCAGGAGACAACAAGCTGTAGGGCCACACAAAGTAACACCTCCTGCCCCAAGTGGAGAGTACTTTTGTCCCCGGGGACAAAACAGCCTTTGCGAGGGGGCATCCCAGCCTTAGACTGGAATGTCCCTGCCTGGTGGAAACACAGGTTTCCCCAAAAAGCTGTCCTTCTCCTGAGCATTGACATGACAAGGGGTTTGGGATGTGCTATAGCATGTCCTCTCTTTTGGGGACAGGGCAGCATCACTCCCATCAGTACTCTCAGTGGGGGGATTCTGGCCATGGCACCGGTACTCCACAATGCTGGCAGGCACTGTGTCCCTAACACTCTTCTCTCCCCCTCCTGGGGCCTGGTCTCTATCCCAAGCCTGAATGTGACACTGGCTGACTTCAGCTCTGTTGGCTCCATCCGGCAGTTCCTGCACTGCTGCAGCTGTGTGTGACCCTCTGTGGGTCCCTAAGCCCACGTCCTGTCCCATTAACTTCCCTTCTGCAGAAGTCCCTCCCTATGCCTCTGCACCTCACCTTGCCGTGGGCTGCAGCTGGAGCAGCACAGGGATCTCCCTGCTGGCACCACGTGGAGGAGCTGCCTCGGTTGGGCTCTGGAGAGGTGAAGGCTGCTGCTGGCACAGTTGGGAAGATGTGGGCATCAGAGGTCCCTTGTGGAAGGCCAAGTCTTGCACAGCACAGCTGGGTGGGAGAAGAGGAGCTTGCTCCTGTGTGCTGCACAGGGCAGTGGGTGCTCCAAAGCATGGGCATCCCCATCGGGGTTGGGAAGCCCTTCTTACTGGCACCTCCTGCCCTGCACCTTGCTCCCCTTCCTCCGGGCATGCGAAACAGGAGAACTTCTCCAGCTCTTTGAGTGTCTGCAGCAAAGACCCACTGACAAAAGCCTAAAAATAACCTAGAAATAGTGGAGGAGAAAAAAAAAAAAGGGGCTCTTTATTGCTTAGCCAACAGCAGAACCAGTCATTGCCTGGCAAAAGTGAGAGAGGAACTGGGAGTTAAAATAACGTCTGCTTGCAGGGAGCCAGCCTGGGCAGCCATGTTCCCAGGTTTCCTGCAGGCAGGAGCAATGTGCTGCTGCCTGCGTGGGCTGAACGCGTGGGAACCGTGTTCCTGAGCCACATCCAAGGTCTGTGCTCCTCCAAGCTCCCAGCAGGGATGAGGGACCCCTCCCTACAGCAGCAGGATGCTCTCTGCCACTGCCTGTGGTGGACAGCTGCCTGTGGCCCCAGGAATCATTCCCCTGCATCCTAGCAGGATGGGGTTTGTCCTGGAATACTGGGTATAGCTGGTGCCACTGACTGCAGGTTTGGGCTGCTGGGCTTCCAGCAGCTGCTGGTATGGGGAGCAGGGATGTGGCTGGGGAAGCCTGGGAGAAACAACCAGAGTGAAGGGAGCCAGGCTGTGCTTGTCCCCTTCCTGGGTCTGTCCCAGCTGTGGGATAGTTGGTAGGCTCCTTGTGTAGCAGTAATGGGAACAGCCTGCTCTCTGTGCTGGTACCCTGGGTCTGACCTGAGCATCGCTGCTGCCTCACTGGGTTTCTGCAGGAAATGGACAGTGCAGGAATGGGCAGTGAGTGGGGGAACCAAGCCCTTCATCCCATTCATAGCAACCAGGCATGCAGACTATGGATGTTTGTGGCTTTCACTTGGAAAGTGCTGAAAACAATCAGAAAACAGAGTTATGTAAAAAATCACAGTCTAGTCAAGTGGATCTGGTACAAGCCCAGCACACCCCGTCCCTCCTGTGGCATGCAAGGCCATTTCTCTGGGTCAGGAGCAGCTTGCTTAGGACATGCTACAGCTTTGCTGGGCCCTCTCCATCATGGATAGCAGCTGAGCCAAGTCCTCTCCATGTCAGGAGTCTCTCTTCTGCTTGACCTCAAACACACCTGCACGCCTGGAGTAGCAGAGATGTGTTCTGATGAACACAGCTGCAGCATTGTCCTCTCTCTGCATCCAATTGACTTCTGCTCCATTCTTGCCTGTCCTCTCTACTGCTTGGCTTTGCTGTCTCCTTCTCCTTCCAGGGCAGCCATGGCACTGCTTTCCTTCCCCACCTCACCCATGCCAGCTCCTGCCTGGGCCACAGCACACGCCTGCTGCTCAGTCCTGGCCTGGGGGGATTGCATCCACGGTGTTCCAGCACAGGGAGAGGGGTCTTAGTAGGCCCCTTGACCCTATGCCTGTCTCCTGGTCCTCAGACACAGGATCAGACCCTCACCACACTCTCTTGGACAGAGGCAAAGCCTGTGCTAGTGATTTGGCCTCAGCCCAACCATGCATTTGTCCCTGTAGTTTCTTGGAAGCTCCCAGTTGCTGCTGGGAACTGGGACCCTGTATCACTGGTTGGGATGATCCAGCATCTGGAAGGGAGGTGTGATGCAACCCAGTGAGGGATACTGGCAGCAGCTGTGGCAAAATGGCCTTCCCTTTGATCAAGTAGTGGTGTCTCCCTTTGTGGGGTGGACTTTGTGCAACCTGAAGGAATGTGGCACCTCCGTGTGCACAGCCAGGCGTCTGTTCCCAGCGCTACCATTGGCAGGAGCAGGGCACCATTGCGGGCTTTCTCAGCATTGCTGATTTTCTGCTCATAGCAGAGCAATGTATGCCTCATGCCCTCACTTCTGGTGGCCAGGAAAGTGAGGCAAAGCACTATGCTGCGGTCTGGACCCTCTTGGGCTCAGGGGCTGTGTGGACCATCCTGCTCCCTGATGAGGTGACACCTCAGAGCTGCAGCCCCAGCCGTCCCTTTTACCTGAGGCTGCCTGTCCCTGCAGAGGCTCAAAGGTAACCTGGAGCCAGTTGCCATCGCTGCCCTTTGGCACAGCCCTGTGATACGCTCCTTGGAGCAGGGCTGGCAGTGGCCTTGTCCCGTCCTGTTCCCTGCCCCAGTTCCCAGTGGATACATGTTGGGCTGATACGGGCTGCACCGGGCGGCGGTGCTGTGTGACCCTCGCTCCTTCCCCAGCTGTGAGCAGGGTGTGGCTGGGAGCCACCTGTGCAGTGCTGCCCGTGGGCTGCCCTGAGCCTGAGCCTGGGCCATGGGCTGCCCTGAGCCCGGGCTGTAGCCAGGAGAAGGTGGCAGCCCCTCACCCTGTGCCAGCCCAGGGCTGTGGGGCTGAGACCCCTTCAGACACATGTTCCCACTGCTGTGTTTCCTCCTCTGGCAGCATGAAGAGGCAGAGCTCAGCTCTGGGCTGGAGGGGCTCCAGGGACACTTTGGGGTGAGCACGAGGGGACAGGGTGGCTCTGAGCAGCACAGCAGGTCTGTGGTTTAAGTCCTGTGCAGCACTGAGGTTTGAGGCAGCAGCGTGGAAGTCGGAAAGAACAAACTGTTCAGCTGCCAGCCCTTCCAGCTTCTGCTTTCAAAGTTATCTAACAGCCCAAACAAACATGCAAGTGCTGGCTCAGCCACAGCTGGGTGCGGGACACAGCCCAGCCCATTGGTAATCCTGCAGCCCAGCCTTGCCGGGTCACTGCTTCTCCGTGGGTGGGTAACGGGCTCTGCTCCTCCATTCCTCACCTCAGCCCTGAAATTCCTTCCAGTGCCACCACTGATGCCTTCCAGGCAGCTTCTTGGGACCCCACTGCAGTGATGACTAGTGGTCACTTGTCCCTGCAGGGATGGACAGCCCCATGGCTCAGAAGCTCCCTCACACCCTGCTCAGTCCTGCTCAGGCCCAGCAAGCAGCACGGCATTGCCCTGGAGATGCCATCTGCTGCAGCAGGGAGGCAGGACTGACACAGAGATGCCACGGCTGATCTGTGTGAAGAGGAGAGCACTGACCCACCATGGCCGGGTGCTTCAGTGCACCCAGAGCTCTGGAGATGGGCACAGGCTGCAGGACCCACATGGTTCAGCCGTGCATGGCGACAGGGACAAGCCTTCATGTCCTCAGTCAAGATGTGGGATCAAGAAGCTGCCAGGTTGAGGGATGCAGGAGGAGATTGCAAATTGTGCAGAGGGGGGACTGAGTGCCCAGAGAGCCCAGAGCAGGGTTCCACGGGTGACAGAAAGGGGAAGCTGTGGGCTGTCACCAGCTCTGACAAACAGTGCTGGGCCGTGGTGTCTTGTCACACACACACACAAATTCACACGGCGGGGGGCGGGGGTGCAGGTGGGAGGGGGAGCGAGGAAGGGGTGGAGAGCTCTGTTACGTAGAGTGTCCTTCAGCCTTCCTTCCTTCCTGTGGCCACGGCTGAGGGTATATAAACACTGGAGCTATAATTATCTGGCGTGGTGAGCAGCGCGCCCAACTGCTGCCTGCCATGGGCACAGCTGGAGACAGCAGTGCAGAGCTCCTGGGGCTGGCTCCCAGCTCCACTGCTGTCCATTGCAGCTCCACTGCTGTCCATCGCAGCTCCACTGCTGCCCATCCCAGCTCCACTGCTGTCCATTGCAGCTCCACTGCTGTTCATCGCAGCTCCACTGCTGCCCATTGCAGCTCCTCCAGGAGATTTTTGTCATAGGGTAACTATGGAGCTGCAGGAGCTTTGGAGGGCTGGCAAGTCTCACCTCCTGCTCGCCCCATCTCTCACCCTGCCGAGCAGCGGCTGAGAACAGCCTTCAGCCAGGGACAGACTGGGGATGCAGGGTGCTTCATCCCAGACTGTGACAGCAGGGACACGTCCAGTGACAGGGCAGCAGCAGTATGGCAGAGAGCACGTTCCCTTGCAAGGGAGAAAGGGACAAAGGATGATGTGCAGACTCCAGCAGCGATGGCTGCAGGCACGACATGGTCCCTGCAGAAGGTCTGCAGAGGGGTCAGGGTGAGGAGGAGCCCTGCTCAGTGCAGTGGCCACGCTGAGAGGGTAGCCCATGCTCCTGCTGAGCAGCTCGGGAAGGCAGCCAGCACCTGCAGCCCCGTCTCACCTGCCCTGCTCCTCCTCTCCTGCAGGGAAGAACAGACCTGGGATTAGCTGTTCCTAGCACATTCCAGATACTTACCTCCCAGGATTCCCGCTCTGAAAGACTTTGTTGATGAAAGACACAAACCTGGAACCGACCGTTTGGCTGACGAAAGACACGGTGCAAGTTGCCAGCAGAGCAAGTTCCCCACGTGCTTGCGTCAGGCTCCCAGCTTTCACTGGGGTGAGGCATGGCCAGCACCCCGTGCCTGGCTAGGCTCCTGTTTGTCTTGTAGACCTCCTGTCCCCAAAAGGGATGAGGAAGCAGCTGCTGCCATTTTGTCCTTCTAGGGAGACTGGCAGGGGGGCTGGAGAGTACAGCTACATTCCGTGGATACCCTGGCTGCTCCCCTCCGCTGCCCGGGGACACTGAGAGCAGGGAGGGCTGTGCCGGATCTGTGGCTGGACAGTAAGGTTTGAGGAGGATGCTGAAGCTGGGGTGGGAGCTGAGGGTACTGTGCTGCAGGCAGAGGCATCACCCTGCAGCACCAGCACTAGTTCACCTGTCCAGCTGGACACCTACCCACACAGGCTGAGCTCCACGAGCACAGGCAGAGGGTGGACCTCTCCCACTGCCGTGATGCAATCCTGGAATCACCCCTGAAGATGCTCATCCAGACTCCACTTTCTGAGCTGACTCACAGTCTGCTTTCACCCTGGAACACCCCATGCCTGCGGGGTGCCTTTCCCAAGCTGCTGTGGTGGTGTTTCTTATCATCAGGCCCTGCAGGTATCATACATCCCAGAGGATGAACACACATCACACATCTTACATCCCAGAGGACCCAGGGCCTGCAGGAGCAGCTGGGGCACATCAGGGTGCAGGCTGGGCTCGTAACGCAGAGCATCAACAAAATGTTTGTCCTTTCCCTGCCCTGTGGAGAGGATGGGTCCCCACATGGGCAGAGGTGACCATTTGTGTGAGCAGCATTCCACTGGGACCTGTAAGTGGTCTTGGCAGAGGGGATCCCAGCAGG